TTTTCTCTTTGGTTTCTTACTAACAATAGATTTCCAGTGAAGAGGAGTTTTCACACCTTTTCATTTGGCGACCATGGCTTTGAATTTCCCTTTTAGGTTCACAAATTCTTCCATTCTTTCTCCATTCTCTATGTGTAGATAACAAGAACGATCTAGAAATCTACCCATCTTGCCCAAATTCACCCAAATTACGCCCTAATTCGTACATTCACCCAAATTCAACAAGAAAATGCAACTGCCAACATGGATCAACAGCGTCTAAGCGGTTGCTGCCCAACGCAGTAAAGACAGACACTTTCCAGAAGAGATCTTTGAAGAATCTGAAAGCTCTCTCTCAAGATCTCCAAGTCCAATCACTGACGAAGAACACCAACGACCCTCTTTGACAAGAAACTCCAATCTACCAGCACCTTCATCAGCAGACACCCTTAGCAGCTTCATTGGTGAACTCCATCTCCGAGCACAAGACCACCCACTCCAAGCTCGAGACCTCAACCAGCACGCTCGACACAAACCGACACCACTGCCGAAACGAACCCATCTTCCATGCAGTCGTCGACCCGGCAATCCTAGTGCTTCGACACGATTCCAGTTCCTGCGCCCAGTCCCAATATCAAAGCACATCCTCAGAACCTATACCAACGACGAACCCATCACTTTGTTACCCGGTATCGGACAACTTGTCAAGGGACAACTTCACAACGCACCACCGATTTTTCGACAACCCCTCCGACAAAGTCAGCAGCTCAGCACCGAAACAACAGTCCGAACTTGGTTCGAAATCAACACGTTGCTGCAACAATTCTTGCAATCACGCCATCGCCCAATCCGGACTCAAACAACTTGACGACATTATCGAAGAAATCATTCCAGACAAACCCGAATATCTGAAACTCTTCATCGAACTCCATCTCAGCACCAGCAAGTGGAAGACCAATTTGCATACTGCACACTGGACTCAACACAACTCGGCTGAACACAACGCAACTCAACACGTACCACCGTCGATATTTGCATTGAAAAGAAAGAATAAGCTCACAATGACTTTATCGACAATTGACCAGCCAACAGTCTTCTTGAAGTTCTGCCCGAACTGCATGATTGACTCCAGACACGAATCTGACACCAACAACCAGTAGAAGAATGCATGTATCCAAAACCACGAAGAACATCCAGCAAGTCGGAAGAAGACCAACAATGGCTTATCCGACGTTTAGATAGAGATTTGAAGAATTTAGAAATAAAGAGAAAGAAACACCAAGAGAAGTTGAATCAAGTTGTTAGACCCTCCAAGAGAGAGAATTACATCCGACATGAATTATTACCGCGAGCTAACTCCGACAAACCAGTATCGGACATCCGCAAAGAATACGAGGACTACACAACACCACCGGACACACCACCGGCAGCACTCTCAACGACACCCACCAAACTACCCAAACCTGAATCAACACCCTTGACAGCACCCACTGAAGTGCCTGCGCTTGAATCAACACCCTCGACGACACCCACCAAAGTGCCCGAGCCCGACCAAACATTCGAGCAGTCGACACAGACTACGCCCAAGAAACAAAACATTTTTCAAGCAACATACAACCACTTCAAAGGTACATTCACCAACCCCATCTACAGTGTCAACAAACGGCCAAGTTTCCCGCCCAGCTTCACAGACTTCACCAGACCAGCACCATTTTCGCCATACCGACCGATCTTCACAACACCAATATATCCCACATTTGCTTCCAACATCTACCGAAGCCCGCTATCAGCAAGACCTTTCGAACACGCTTTCGACTTCAACGCGCTGATGAGACAACAACTCGACTTCACCAATTACAGTTGCACTCCAATATACCCAGTCAACAGCAGTAAAGACGAACAACCCAAATCGTCCAATAGTCAAGCACTCGACATCAACAACTCACACCGACCTACTGAACAGCTACAATCATCCAACAACAACGAGATCGACGAACCAATTGTCGACGACAACAATCTTCCACAACAACCACAATCACCACACAACTATACAATCGAAGAACTCTTTGACAATTTAGAAGAACAACCAAAAACAACACAACATAACTCCGACAAGTACGTTGACAACAAGTTCGAACACCATCTTCTGAAAATCAACACTGGCAAGCAACCCGACACCGACGATGATGTTGACGACACACCCGAAAACAGTCCCAACACAGAAGGAACAACAAAGAAGAGTCCACTAAACAACAACAACAATTCACCACCTTCCTCTTACACCAACTTTGCCATCGACCCCAACAACCCCTTGCTACAAAAAACCTTAGGACTCCACGGTGATAACCTGACAAAACAACCTCGACAATACCGATGTTACTACCAACAGCAAATGGCAGTCACTACTGCCGTCGCCAATATACCTGTCGGAAGACATGTCTCCTATCCACTATTTCATGGTCTGAAGTCAGAAGATGCCGAGAAACATGTTGAACAGTTCCGAGAAGCAATCCGAATCAACGGCCAGACGACCGAACTTCCATACTACTTCCGATGTACCCTTCAAAAGAGAGCCAACGAATGGGCTCAAATGCTTCCTCAAAATACAAGTTTCGACGACCTCACACTCAAGCTCGTCGACCGATTCAAGTCTTCCCTCACTCAAAGCCAACGACATCACAAGATCCAAAAACTCAAGCAGAAGTCAGGTCAATCCATCGACGACTACACTCAAACCTTCACTCGACATGCTAGCAAATGCGGCAACAGTGCCACCGAAACATTACTTTACCAATGGTACATGCAAGGACTCCGACGATCCCTCCGAGAAGCGGCAACACACATCAACGTTGCCACTTACCTCAAACTCGCAAGAGCCCTTCAAGATGTTCATGCATGACAAATGACAGCACAAGTAGATGACACAGATAACTCAGATTCTGATAGCAGTTCTGCTGACGACTCCGACGATGAACTTGGAGAGAGCACCAAGTCAAAACTTCAGAAACTCAGGAAAACAATCGACAAGCTCAAGGGAAAAGCCAAGGCCGACATAAAAAAATTTGGAATTTGGTGGTGCCGATCTGGAATTTGGTGTACTAAATGCAAGAACAAAGGACATTCGGCAAGTGACTGTAAGCTCCAAATCTCCAAATGCCAGATCTGTGCCAAAG